GATAAAAGCATGGCATTCTGTTTTGTTACTGATTACACAAGCTTTGCTTCAAAGAATTGTTCAGAACGCTAACAATATAAAAGGTAATCTTCATCCAGACACGATAATGTAACAAAATCAGCTTATTTTCAATTTACACTTCTATTATATGGGAAAATACAATAGAAATTAGTCCAGAGCAAAAGCTAATAAATAATATTGTCAGGAATAATTGAAAGATTATTAATTATCACTGTTTTAAAAAACATCTTCATTTTAGTTAGAGAGCAGAGGGAATGGGTTTAAAGTAACTTGTTTTAAAATTAGTTAACAACAGAAACAGGATTTTACAACCACCAACTGTGAGATGGTTTTATGCCTCAGTGGCAGGGTTTTGGCTAAAAGAATCTGGAAATGTTAACTGATATCTTTTTCTTGAAGATCCTTACAAAACCTTAGAGAAGTAAAGAAAAGACGGCCAAAAAGTCAATATTGGTATGTATAAAGGTCCCATGGTACTATTGGCACTGGACATAATGGGGTCAAAATAAACTGGTACAGAAAATGTAAGAACTCAAGGGCTTATGAGGAATTCTTGTTGAAGAACATTTTCTTCAGTTAAGAGACACCTATATGTATTTTCAAATTTGCATTATTTTTAAAAGTTTCCTTTAAAGAGATTTCTTTAGAGTTAATGTATGTTTATTCTTTAACTCTGACTAGATTTTTTCAAATTGTCTTGGTTTTCAATTTTTTTTTTTTTTTTTTGCAGAAAACGATTTATGTAGGCAGAGAGAGAGAGAAATAGAAAGAGCAAGTGAGCTCCCACACTGTCATGGGAGGGGATCCACAAGAGGGAAAGTCCCAGTTTTCAAAGTTTTTAAGAGCTTTTTAAAAGAACCAATATGCCCTCCTATGCTTGCTTCTCAGTTTTGAAGGTAACCCTAAGATGCACATCAACATTTTAAAAGATTTGCTCAATCAAAGGTTAAGATGCATATAAACAGTGAAAGAATATAGACTAACAATATTCACCATTTGTCATCTGAAAGGTGGTATCAATTATGGCTGCTGCTCAACCAAGGTACAAAAGAAAATCAGAAGGCAACATCAAGCATTATTCAAATGGAAAACGTGGCTTTTCACTTCTCTAAAAACTTAAAACACAAACACAGCAGAATAATAATATCTTTTATATGAATATTGAAGTAGTTACTTATTGAGGTACCTATCTAAAAATAATTAAAGCTAATACATGTCAAAAAATGATAAAGTCCTTCAAAAAAACAGAGGATGAAAATTCAAGCTAAAAGACTAAAAATTCCAGCTAGTACTGGAAATAATCACATGAAAAGAAAAAAATAGAGAAATGTTTTCTTGTCTTGGTTAACTGTGTGTCTACGTGCACACTTCACTCAGGTATGGCCAAGATCATCAACCTTGTAAACAAAGCAAATAAAGTTCTTCATAAAGAACCATCTAAAGGACATTTTCTTTACTTGAAAGCTAGTTAAATCAGAGTTACTAAGTACAAAAGGCCAAAGCAAAATATAAATAGATACATTTAGCTTTAGATTTTTTAAGAAGAATTTGTGTTCTCAGACCATCATTATTTAAGTTAAAACAAGTTTAACCCACGAGGCAATTTTTTTTTTTTTAAAGACAGGGTCTCACTCTGTCACCAAGGTTGGAGTGCAGTGGCATGATCTTGGCTCACTACAACCTCTGCCTCCAGGCTCAAGCAATCCTCCAACCTCAGCCTCCTGAGTAGCTGAGACTAAAGGTGTGTACCACCACCACACAGCTAATTCTTCTATTTTTTTGTAGAGATGGAATTTCACCATGGTGCCCAGGTTGATCTTGAACTCCTGAGCCCAAGCTATCCTCCCACCTTTGCCTCCCAAAGCGCTGGGATGACAGGTATCAGCACCCAGCCAGCAAATGATATTTAAGCAGTAAATATAACTGTGAAAGATATGAATAGAAAAATAAAGGAGCCAGAAAGAAGTACATTAAAATCATAAATATGACTGTTTTAAAATTAGCAAGTATTTTCTCTGTGTTCTAACGTTTCTATAATGCTATATTGCTTTTATTAGAAAATGAAAACAAGCAATAGTACTTTTTAAATGAGACTTCTAGAAAGTACATAGCCTGTAGAATGTTTTGCAAAAATGCATAAGGAATCATGAACAATCACATTGTTCATTACAACAATGCTTATCAACAATCATATTGTTTGTTATAACAACATTTGTAGTAGTGAAAAATGAGAAACCACCCCAAAGTCTCCTTTCCCAAGGGAAGGGACAAGTCAGTTGTGGTAATATTTACACAATGAAATACTTGAGCGAAGTGAAAAATGAAGTACACATGTTGATAGGGATCAACTTTGTAAACCAATGTTAAGCCAAAAAAGTATGTTGCAAAAGGCCACACAGATTAAGATAATCTTTATAAAAATGTTTAAAGCATACAAAATAATATTGTATATTGTTTTAATAATAAATATATACAGGATAAAATTATTAAGAGATACAAAGGAATTATAACCTCACATTCAGAATGGGTTACTGCTAATGTGGTGGAAGAAAAGAAAAGATAAGAAATGGTTACCTATATCCCCTTCCATAGCTACCTAGCTTTAATACCAACTTTCCAAACCTATTGTATACACTTCAGTGTTTCTTCTGTGTGTAAATATATGCAATACATACACAAACACGTGACTTCCTTTTCCACCCAGGATGAAATCTGAAAGTCCTGCAAGAGCTGACCCCAGGCCCTCTGACCTCCTTTCCAGTTACTGTCTTCTCATACACATCGTCCCTCTGGATGACCTCCTCATACCCTGGAACATGATCAGCACAGTCCAAGACCTCCTGCAACTGCTACTCTACCTGCAACACTCTTCCCTGTTCCATATCCGTATGACTGTTTTATTGGTAAGATGTCACTGCAATGTCACCTCACAGGAGAGCGCTTCCTTGACCGTCTCACATAGAATACCCCCTTCATCCTCTACTTGTTTTTCCTGCTTTACATTTTCTTCTTCATAGCCTGATGGTTGGCTACACAGCATTAGGAATGTATGTCCTGCCTTTTCTCCCAGAATTTTAGTTCTATGAGAACAGGATTTTGTTTGTCTTGTTCACTGTTGTATCAACATTACCTAGACCAGGAATGGACATGAAGCAGTTCAATACTGGCTGATCAAAAGCACTGTGGATTTCATTCTAGACATATTTTGAGCCACCTTTAAAATGTATTCTAAAATTCATTTTAGTAAAACATATGTAACTTTTATGATATTGAATACTTTTCCTAAATATCATTTTTAAAGCTACACAGTATTCCAACAAGTACACAGGACACAGCAGAGTTTCGATAATCTGTTGTTAGACATTTGACTTTTTAAAATATTTATAATGGACATTCTTCAGACTTTGTGATCAATCATTATTTCTTTAGGATAAATTCCTCAAGTGAAAAATGCTGAATCCATTTTTCAAGTCTTGGATATATGTTCTCAATGACCCTCCAAAAAGGCAACACAGGCATGCATGCACACTAACGGGGAAAAGCTCACCTTGTCACAGGCTGCATCTATACTAATGGGATGAGGGCCACAGTGTTACAGTTTCACCCATGCTCAGCTCCAATGTCTCTTTCAATCTTACTAATTTAGCAAGTTAAAAATGTATTATCTTGTAATCTTGTGTTTATATTACATATAAAGTTGCTCTCGTTCCTCAAGTCCACCCTATTATGAAGTCTATGTGAAAGAGAAATCAAAAAATGTCCCTCAGCATGCCTTCACTAACAGGTAAACAGGAGAGGCTGACTGTGCCTCTCCAGGAAACAAGGATTTAGCACCTCCTCTTCCAGTGCTCCCTCTTCATCTGGAGTGCTCTGGTGAGAGGATGGAGCCTACCTGGGCCAGGACAGACCCCATGCAGACTGCACGGCACTCCGTGAGGAAGGCACACTCATGCAGACCCCCAAGGACTGCACTCTTCTTCTACTGAAGGAACGCTTTGACTCTCTGTGTCTCCTACCCAGATTCCATGGGTCATTTGCCCCAAAGGGAGCAAATCAAAAAAAAAAAAGAAATAGTGGCCAAGCATGGTGGCTCATGCTTGTAACCCCATCACTTTGGGAAGCTAAGGCAGGTGGATCTTTTGAGGTCAGGAGTTCAAGACCAGCCTGGCCAACATGGTGAAAACCCGTCTCTACTAAAAATACAAAAATTAGCTGGGAATGGTGGTACACACCTGTAGTCCCAGTTACTCAGGAGGCTGAGGTAGGAGAATCGCTTGAACCTCAGGATGTGGAGGCTGCAGTGAGCCAAGATCACACCACTGTACTCCAGCCTGGGTGACAGAGTGGGACTCTGTCTCAAAAAAAAAAAAAAAAAAAGTTGTACCTTTTTCTATGAAAGACGGAAAGACGACATACATCTGTGGTCTATACAAGCTAAAAATTAATGAAAACTGTAAGACACTGCTTAAGCTTTAAGCCTATCAAGACAGCATATGTCTGAAATGGAAACATTCATTAATAAGCATCACTGGTCTTCTGAAAAACATTATACATTGAGCTGTCAACCAGAAATCATATGTACTGCACTTAGATACTTCAGAATGCTCACCACTGGTCAGGGTGTGAAGAGAGTAACAGAACAGACACACAGCCCCAGCCCCCATTCCCAACAGGTGCATCATAGAGGAGGGAGCTGCTGATGACCTGCAACCTTAACAGGTGCAGCATGACCAAGGAAAGCCCCTCTGCCACCAGCTCAGGCACTTGGTAACTTCAGCAGCTCTACACCACACTTCCCATGGTTCTCTGGGGGACTGAAGTCACTCAGCAAAGTCTTTTAACAACAGAAGTTCAGAGATACACTGCAACAATATCATGTTTTTAAATCTGGTCAATTTAACTTTTAACCATCTCAACTCTTAAAACTATATTCTAAATATTTCATAATTTAACTTAATTTTTTAAGTCTTTTCTTTTACCAGAGGAGCCCAGTAGGTGTAGAGATAGCCTATTTTCAATGCTGGTACAAACTGTGAGCAGGATATTATCAGAAAATAGAGATTCAAGAAAAACTTGAATTGTTCATATAAAACCTAAAAAGGAAAAGAGAAAATTAACAAAATTCCTTCAAGGAAAAAAACTTAATACCTAAATTAAACAACTGAAATCAGACAACATATAACCACATTTCCATCAAACAGTGAGAATGTGTTCTGATTCAAAGTAAATTAATTAATTTTCACATTGGCTTTCCGATAGTTATATCACAAAGAAAGGCTAAGATTACTCCCAAAATATATTTTAAATAAACTGAAAGATAAGACAATTAGGACTTTCAAGGACATTAAAAATGTCATCTAAGAGTTTTTCATTTTTCTTACATGAAATTCTTCAGTTTTCCACACTCATTTACTAAGCTTTTACATGAACATCAAAAAAAAACTTAGATAGCAAAGCCTTCCCAATGTCAGCAAGCCAGCATAATAGTTATATCTTGATAACGACTCAGTAAATCTTACAATGGAAAAGTCTTATTCCATTGTATTTATTCCACTGTATTTATGAAATGGTAAGAAACAAATAGCCACTTTTTTTTTCCCATGGACATCCAAGACGTCCACGTAGCTTAACAAAGCCTGAGTGAACAGATGTGGCTTCCCGGGATAGACTGGCTCAATCTCCAGCGGGTATTTACTTCCCTCAAAACATTAAAAATCGTAAAGCATAAGAATGTGTAATTGCAGACCAATTTTCAGGAAGACAGCAACCCACCTCCTCTTATGGTCTTTGGGTAGTTAATCCTTAATAATAGTTTTGAATATAAATGAAATTTCATCATTCAATAAAATTTTAGGAATGTCAATACTGAAAGGTTTTGGTTTTCAATTCAAATAGTTATCTTTAGGGAAGAAAACCCAAGATCTAATACTAATAGATCTCGATTTACAAATGCCTCAAATTATTAAAGTTGAAAATCAAAATGGAACAAAACTTATGTTTACAGATGAGAATAATTCAAACAGCACACTACAATCAAAATCAAACTTGCAAACCTGCAACTTACAAATCACACTCTCTTTGGATGCCATTTCTATGCCACTTGGAAGGAATGAAAATTTCACCAAGCAGGGCAGTGGGTTAAGTGCTTATTGCTGACCTAGAGAGTCTGCGACTCGTTTTCAGATAATGAGGCTATCTGCATCATCATATAGCGATGTGTGAGACTCAAAATCGGTTATACTGACAATGCATTTATGTTCATAATCATGTTCAACCTGCTGTCTAAAAATGTTTTGAATTATTTCATAAATTAATCTCAGCAGGAAATAAAGTGCTTTTTCCTTAGTGATTTCTTTAAAATCTCAGTTAGCATAAATTATATCTATTAGCAATTTAGAAATTGCCATTCATGGTAAAAAATGGCATAGAATTCCTACTGTGTTTAGAAACCAAATGTTTCTAAAATACTACATTTGAGATGAAAAGACTAATTTCAGAGACAATCCAAGAAAAAAACTCATGTACATGGTAATCATCATACAGTCACATCCACAGGTATTTTCAGCATGCAGGCAATCTGAGCAGACTGTGTGGACTTGCTCCGATCAAAGTTAAGCTGCACTGCTAGCTTTAAACTACTGTAATCAATACTCTACCGTCTACTGACTGAACCTGCTGACCTTTAGGAAAATGTATACTGCTCAGCCAATCTCTGAGATCTGTGAGTATTTAATAATTTAAACCCAGGCAGAAAACAGTGGCTTCATTCAATAAAGATGTGAATATTTATCTGCCTATAAGACAGTTTACACTTTATTATCCTGCCAAAAGATCAGTCTTTTAATTATGAAGCCATTAGTTTTGTGAGTTTTAATAAAGAAGTACATTAGATATCAAGCATTTGCCAATCACTAGGTAGATGGGGATGAGGTGGGGGTGTGGGTAAAATCAATGCCCAATACAATGTCGGCATGATTATTTAAATTAAACATACAAGATAAAGCAGCCCACGTTCCTTGTAATCAAGAGTTTATCTTGCAAATAAAATACATAAAACATGCCAAAAACTTTGATATAGAAATATAATCAATACCAGCTTCCTTTTCCTTTAGAAAGATAAATCTATTAAAATAAGGAATGTCACACAAAAACAAAAATTATTCAACTATTCTAATTGTATATGAACTGTTTTATAACTTAAGCTAGCAATATCACTAGCAACAAAAAAGTAATAAGATATTAACCTACAGATTTAAATTTAGCATAATACCCAATTGAAGATAACTAATGATAATAACAAGGCCTGAGATTTATAGTGCAAAGTAGAAAAGACATCTAGATAGAAATAAGCTTATTACAGATATTGTTATTGTATCATTTCAGTGTAAAAAATTGTTTTATTTTCCCTGTGAAATTTCTTGGCAGGCTTTAAACATTACATTCACTTTTCTCTCCAAACTAGTTCCCAGTCAAAATATATAACTTGTTTTCCGATAATTTTATTAGCTTTACTTCATTATGTCTGTATTTCTAAAATAATATAAATATGTTTATCAAGAACTAAAAGCAATAATCAAACTGTTTCTTAAGCTGAACTCTATGATGTGGCCATTAAAACTACATATGAATTATTTAACAATTATTGGGACACAGATGGTCAAAAGCAAAAGGACACTGATTTGGATGTGACACAATTCAATACCTAAGTGAGATTCTCAACAAGATTCTCTTTGTCTTACAGCAAAGGAAGCCAGGATCTCTGACACACAACCCATCTCCAAGAATGCAATGGTCTTACCCCAGGTATAAAGGTAAACACATTGTATTTTTGATTTTTTATAGAATTCTTGGGATGTTTTTCTTCACACTTTTCGGGACATCCAAGCCATACTGTGCGAGCTTTCAGTTCTTTCTTTCTTTGACAAATATTTATCAGCCAATCACAGCAACTGTGTGAAACAAAAGATATATATTGTATATGGTTTTTTGCTTTTTAAAAATGTTGAAACTAATTGTACATATTTAGAGCCAACACTGATTGTTTCTGTATTTACCAGACACTAATAGCACACCTAATGCTAATCTATGGGATTTTTCTTAAAATAGGTTGATTATACAAATTTAAATTTGACATAAAAATACAAAGTCTTATATAAATGTACAATAGCTTTTAGAACCCCAAGGGAATTATCTGTTTAGACACCCTTATTGGCAAAATAAAACCATTAATATTCCGAAGCAGCCAATGGTCTATATGTTGAGAAAAGGTACAGCTATATGTTACCAGTAATTCCCAATACACCATTCAATGATAAAGGTCCTTAGATTTCAATTAATCCAGGATGTGGCTCTTCTCTGAAGTAATAATCATTTTCTCTTTTAAAATGACTTTTCCAGTATTATTAATTAATGAAATATTAAGACTTACCGCTCAGGACTGGTGTGGTTGCTCACATCTGTAATCCCAGCACTTTGGGAAGCCTAGGCAGGAAGATCACCTGAGATCAGGAGCTTGAGACCAGCCTGGCCAACATAGTGAAACCCCATCTCTACTAAAAATACAAAAATTAGCTGGGCGTTGTGGTACATGCCTGTAATCCCAGCTACAAAGGAGGCTGAGGCAGGAAAATCGCTCAAACCCAGGAGGCTGAGGTTACAGTGAGCAGAGACAGTGCCACTGCACTCTAGCCTGGACAATCGAGTGAGACTCCATCTAAAAAGACTTACAGCTCAATTCAATATATAAAGAGGATACAAATGTTTCCTGTGATAGTCTAATAATAATAAAAGCTTGACTGCATTTCCACATAGCTCTCTTCATCTGTGCAGTAAATATTTTAATTCTAAATTTACCCTGTTCCAATAGGGTCTGGGTTTCAGAAGCACAACTCTTCCCTTTCTTGGTCATCCAAACCATTATTTTGGAGTAGAGAGTATAGAGTTTCTAGTAAAATAACTTTTCTTTTCTTTTTTTTTTTTTTTTTTT